AATTTATACCGTAAAATTCAACTATCAGAGCGGCAGTTCTCACGGAAACCATATCGGAACGGTAAGATATTATTCAATATCGACCGAATATAATGGATGCCTTTCAGTGTAGAACAAACCGTTAAAAATGAAGCCTGTCACAGACAAACCATTGGTAATTGCGTCTACTGTGAACATTCGGTTTTAGTAGAAGTCATGCAAAGCTGGGAACTGAGCTTAGACTATCTGTTGTTGTGAACGTGTGCATGGTAAAACAAAGTGAACCTAATTTGGCACACAACCAGAGCTGTTCGTTCGTGGCACTTGCTCACTTTTCTTTGTTTAATGCAGTACGTCCGAATCTGAGGTACAGCGGTGTTGTATGATGGAACTGTGAAGACTGCATCGATCCACACTCACATGCTTGGTGCTTATTGGGCCCTTAATAAAGGTCGATAAAGTGATCTGCATTCTACTGAAAATTTAGGAGCAACCACTTAACTGCTCACGAGTAGTCAGGTATCCTGACGAAATCGCCTCACAAACGAAGCCAAGGGTCTGTCGAAAAGTATCCAGGAGTGAGCTTATTAGCCAGCTGGCTTGCAGTCATGATGATGAGATAAGACAGTCGGTGATTCTGGTCCCGTTTTGAGGTACAATTTTCTTATAAGGCCTGATATAGATAGGTTTGACAAAAATCTATAGTCCATATTTTATTATAGAACGCTGGACGCTTCATTGATATCTGTACTCTGGGTTTCGGTGATCCATGGGATCGATGGTAACTCTCCCTCCAGCCACTCGAAAACGGGAGGCGGATGAAGTTTACAGTGGGCGAATGCACTCTACGTGATAAGGTCAGTCTACCAAATCATAAATATAGTTAGGGAGCTGTTGTGACATCACCAAGCTGTTTTTGGCAATAAGCTAACTTAGGTCTGTCAGCGTGGAACACGTCTTCGGAACGGCTTGTACCAGTGAAGCTGTGTTAACTCCAGTCAGTCAAACGAAACTTATTGTGAGAGCACTTCGTGAACCTTTCGTCCCTGAGGCCGAAGTCGAAGAGACCTACCAGGCGGTCAATTTAATGAAATCAACAAATGAAGCTTATTGAAAGATTATGGAACACGCTTAACTAGGTGTCAATATACTTCAGAACACACACAAACTGTGCGGACATCTTAAGTCGCAACATTTAGTACGGAATTCGGAGGGGAAAACGTAACATGTCATTCTAATTCTCAATTCCTGAGTGCTTCAGAGAAGTTGATTCGTAAAATTCCTTTGAATCGCCTCTCTGTTTGTGTGGTTGACGGTCATCTTTGTAGAACGTATTGTGGCTCCATCCTGCTGAGGAAGATATTTTGATCAGGTATTCCAGCTGCAGATTATTGAACCAGGGATCGAAAATAATCTCAAGCCGACCTGAATGATCTAGTGCACTCAGTGTTTCTTTGATGAAACAGGGGGCAATAATCTGTTTCCTGTGGCTATGAGCATAACAAACTGTTTGCGGTTTGAACACCATTTGAGGGCACACCTTTGATATCCGCCCTTCGAATTATTCACCCAACTTACGAATAGTCTAATGGATTGTTGTCAGTGAGTTTGAAGCTGACATTTGAGTTTTTGTTTATTTTCATTATCAATCTCGCTAGAAGCAGCGATTGCTCTCCATTTTCTGCAGTTCAGTACCAAAGGTTTTTCTGAGGATGCCTTCGAACACATCCTTCAAGGAACACTCTCCATAGCACAGCAGTGACAATTCAACCATATCTCCTAGAAGTTCAGTCAACTGTGACCTTACATTTTAATTCTGATGAAGTAAGAGCCTATTGTCCCAGTCTTTCTATCCAAAAAGCGTAGAAGTTGGACCACAGAGATGGGTGGCAGTAAATCAATAAGTGACTCACATTAGTTGTTGAACTGCTCACCGAGCATAGTACTTAGATTACAGAAGTTTTACCACCATTATAGGAGACATCACCAAAGCACGCCTGGATGAGGAGTACTTCAACCTTTCCTGTTTAATTTCATTCGAATGCATAGAGTTGTTTCCCTTCCGTATGTCTTGCTACCAGGAGATAAACCTCTTGCAAACCCCCAGTGACGAGCATGAAGTAACCTTAAACCAGCGAAAACGATACATGAGATTTGTATGTCCAAAACCGTTGAACATGTGTACAGCTAAACTACGGAGTATACCGATGGAGCTACATCCTGGTAGAGGGTGATACAGCGTTAAATCGACGCGAAGATTGACTGAATAACTTAGGAAGAAGGCCGAGGGTAACCAGAGGAGATGTGTACACGTCGGAATGGGAGGTACGTTCTGTCCCTGTTGTCCTTAGACCACAGATCATGTGTGAGAGAGAGAACGAAAAAGACAGATATCACCACCTCCAGGATCCACAACTTTTTCCACGGGAAACGCTTGGATTTAGGAGACGTTCTGGAGCTCATTTCAGGGAGAACTGAACCAAGTTTTAGGGTGTATTGATGGCAGTCTTATCGTCCCCTGTTGTGAAATTAGGATCTCTCCTAAACCGAAAACTTTCCGCGTGTGCAGGCTTCCATTGGTTTGATCCCTGGTGACCGGCGAATCCGATTCGGATGCCAGTCATTCATACTTGTCACTTATGCGTGAGGGATTCTACTCGCTTATTTTACGTTGCTATTGCGTGTGTGTGGGGGAGGGGGGCAAAAAGCAAGAGTGGACTGCGAACGGAGTGGATGACCGACAAGCACGCGTGAACCTTGACGTCATGGTGGAGGGAGTGGACACGCTGAGTTCTGAATCAGTCTCGCTTATTAAAGCCAAATGGAGGTCGGGTCAAACACGAAAAATCGATCAAGAGGTTGATTGGCGGTCAACTGGAAGCGACCGAACCCGTGTTGATGAATTTTTCCGTTTGGCAGCACATTCCACAATAAGCGAAAGCAGAGGAAGCAGAGTGGTCCGAGTCTCGTTGCCGTTTCGCGTCATGTCAGCTTGCTGAGAAAAAAGAGGCGGTCTGGGTGCAACATATCCAGTTGTAGAATACCATAAACGAGAGATCCAACTGAGTCTCTTGTGAAAACCAAATTGATTTGCAAATGAATGTATTTCTCGAAAACAGTCCAATTTGGGTTCAAGTAGAACATAAGATTGACGGAAACTCGGGGACTGCGCCTACCTGCTGTCGAAGAGACTTCAGCAACCTTGTGAGTCACTATCATTGTCATCATCGACAGCACGACATCAGTGTTCAACACCGATGCTTCACTGCCGTACAACCACGATTTATTTGAAAGCCTTATTGTAAAGAAAAGAGTAAAGTTGGATAGGGAAGGGACTTAGTGCTAGCTTACCACAATCATTCCGAGGTGCCTATACCTCCAAACATTCACTCAGGCGATCAAGATAGAAACTGACAACAAGAATGCCACTGACATCGGTTGGTAGTCATATCTTCTAGTGTCTCCAACCAGGTACAGTAAGGCTCACGCAGGTCCCCATCCTGGAAGTCGAGTAGCACCGACAGCACCCAAGCGTTTCGTGATCTCCTTCATACTCCTGTGCCAAGCCAAGGGTTGGCTACCTCTCTGCTTACGCCACTCTGAGTTAGGCATGAAAAACATCACTCTCTTCGGCAAACGGTGCTTCGGCATACGCAACACATGTCCCAACCAACGCAGCTTCTGGTGCTGGACACATTCTTCAATGGAAGTAGCCGTTGCACAACCGAAAACGCGCTCTCCAACTGCGTCGTTACGGATTTGCCTTCACTATTGGTAGTTAGAATGTTGTACTCATCCTGACAGGTAGGAAGTTAATCACACTACTGAAATCCTGAAATCGAAAAGACCGATTGAACTCGCAACCTCAGTTAATACCTTCACTGTTATAATTACCAGAGAGGGTGGATGAATTTTCAACCAAGATTTAAATTGTTTGGTCGGGCACTGCATGCATCTCAAGATTTAGCTAATCAGAATGAATTCAGTATTCGCGCATCAACTACGGAGTCATCTGGCTTGCACATGGTTCTAGATTCTTTTGGAGAGAATGCTTTGTTCGTTTCAAGTAGTACATAACTATATTCAGTACGCACAAGCTCAAAGTTTTATTTTGGATTTTATTTAGTGATGTTTGCAGCCAACTTGGACGTTGGCGAATTTTTTTCACATGAATCCCTGAGAGGAATAATATACATCCAGAAAAAGCATTTCGTTTGCTACGTTTGCTCCTTGACACGAAACCGACTTCCACCCACGCGGGGGGTTCTATTTAAAGTGCATTTGATATTCGAGACCTTTACCCGACCTGAAACGCCACCAGCAATTTAATCTAAATCTCGTGGGTTCTTTATAGCCGTTTATGAATTTTCTTCAACTTACGCGTGTAGATTCATCCAATAATCTCATTCGACATAAGAAATGAGACCATTCGTCTATTTGAGTGGTGGTTTACCCACACACTTTTTGTGGGTTAGATTATGCAAATTATGACGAGAGAAACCGGCAGTAGGCTGTAGATGTTTTTACCAACCTAATAAGTGATGTCGCTTCGAAATTCACCTTCACGATCTACCATCTCAAACTTGTGTCTGCGATTATAGTTACTGTTTCATTAGGCTTGTTGGATTTCTCGAGGCTTGAAGATCAGTCGTCACACACCACATGTACATTCTCGTCCAAACTGCTGATCAAACAGACCAGATGAAAGCAGACAAGCGCGTCGAAAATTGTTGATGCTTTTGGTTATGCTGCTCATTCAGTTATCTTTGTTTTTGAATAAGTAAACGTTAAAAGTGAATCATGACGTCAAGGTTCACGCGTGCTTGTCGGTCATCCACTCCGTTTGACTAGACCGAAGTGACAACTTCTGTCCACTCTTGATTTCAGACAATCTACCACACACACACACACACACACACACATACACAGTGACAGCAGCGTTAAATGGGCGAGTAGAGTCGCTGGTGCATAAGTGACAGATATGAATGACTGGCATCCGAATCGGAGTTGCCGGCCAAAACTGGTCAAACCACTGAACGCGAGAAGTTTTCGGCCTTGAGTAGACCTTCACTTCGGGAGAAAATAAGATTGCTGTTAGTGTACTTGAAAACTTGGTTGAAAGAGACTCGGAGTGACCTCATAGTCGATACTCCTCGGATTTTGTCCCCTGTTCGAACTCCTGGTCGCATGAATCACACCTTTGTTTTCATACGCTAACAACCAGGCCTCCAAAAGTGATGGGAAAATCTGGACAGTTCACCCCACCGCTCTCCAACAGGTCCAAACGTTTGCAGGAATAGGATTTAATCGGCACACCTACTGATTTATTTTTAGCTATGGTGATTTAAGATGTTTAGAAGCAAAGTTTAGGTCCATTGGTTACCTTCAGTGAGATCTCTGATACCGCTTAATGAACCTGACAGCCGTAAAACCGACATGGCTTGAGTGGGACACGGCAAGCCATGAGATCCACACTAGGGTATGGGTTTAACGCCGATCGGTATGGTTTATCGTGTCAACATTGATGGCACTTCGATGAAAGCACATCTGTGGGGCTGTTAACGAAACTGACTGGCATAGGATCTATAGTAGCGGATCATGAGACAAACAATGTCTCTGTCCCCCCCCCAGAGGTAAAATTAATTCGCCCCAGTTCTTTATCATTGACGTCAAGGGACACCATAGGATGTCTCTAACCATTATGAGTGTCACATTGTTATCGAAAATTAGACGCCAGAGGTTTTTCGCTTGCGGTTTCCTGAAGGAGCTTTCCTACGTTACGTAGCCCAATGTTTGCTCACTCTCGCATCACACCGTTCAACACACAGAGGATTGATTATTCTGCCTACAAATGCAACGTAATTTTGATTTTCTTATTGAAGCAAGTTACAAGAAAATCTTTCCCAATCGGCATAAACCAGTAGCTCCATCTCCAGACCGACCATCAACTAGGCCATCTGCCTTGAGGAAACGAAAACTATCACTCTGATACTGCGTGTGCGGAAAAACAAAGTAGTAAACCGCTTGGAGTATTTTCACCTTAAAGGAAACTACTCACAAGTTTGCTGAAAACTCTTCGACATCCCACGACCAGCTTCGCCCTTCTTGGGGCTCATCAGGTAGGTGCAGTCCCCGAGTTTCCGTCAACCTTATGTCCTACTTGAACCCAAATTCGACTGTTTTCGAGAAATACACCCATTTGCAAATCAATTTGGTTTTCACGAGAGACAACTCGAAAATAGTCCGATTTGGGTCCAAGTAGTACATAAGGTTGACGGAAACTCAGGGACTGCGCCTACCTGATGAGCCCCAAGAAGGGCGAAACCGGTCGTGGGTTGTCGAAGAGTTTTCAGTAACCTTGTGAGTAGTTTCCTTTATGAAAATATACTGCGATATCTCGAATATCGTGCCTGTGTGCAGCACATTCAGTTGTAGAATATCATAAACGAGAGTTTCAGTTGAGTCTGTCGTGAAAACGAAATTGATTTGCAAATGAGTGTTTTTTCATCTTATTTTCATTGGCGACCGTTCATTTTCACCGGAATACATGATTTCGAGGTGAATGATGATGTTTGATTACGGGGTCATGACAAATTATCACAATACCAGTATTTACTACTTTACCATACATAGTGTTTTTACGTGATGAAAAGTCGGAGAACGACCAACAGGGGAACAGAAAGGAGAATGGTTTAGTGAATGACACGTAACGCAGTTGATTTCAGGATCACGGATCAAGTCACAGAGTACGATGAATGGGGTTCTACGAATGTATTTGGTACTTAGATCCTCAGTAGGATGCCACATCTATTACCTATCTATTTCAGACGGAACCAATATAAACAGACACAACAAAATTCCTATGGGGTTGAGTGTTTCAGTTGTCAGTTGAAACCGTGGTTTTAGTTGATCTCCCGGACTGGAACCTCTTCCCTCAGAAAAGGCTACCTTGACCAAGTTCCAGAGGTGGTATCTTTATTTTTTTTTGAGGGGAGGATCCCTGTAATTCTAATCCAATATTTCGACACATATGCGAGATGGTTCAAATGGCATAAGGATAGTAGCCTTAAGTTGGTTTTAGTGCTTATATTACTAGCATATAACTCCTTGCTGCTAAAATCTCAGCCATTTTCACGATGATCTGAGACAGGGAACGTATTGGCCAATGTTAAATACCACACTGTCTTCCACAATGAATTCCCATCGGGTGACCACACTTCATTTAGGCGGAAAACTTACGAGCGAGGGCATTTTTTGTCCTACAATCCATGACCCAGGGAACAATCCACTAGGATCTGACAGAGGACATTTTCAGGTTCCCGAGATGATGAAACGCCTGCACTGAAGATGGCCTGTGCCATTGGCTGAACTGCAGTAGGAGGCAGAGTACACGCACTACATTGTTCGTTGAAACAAATCACGGTTATCATGCGCGTTTAGACGTAATTTCGTTTGAACGGAAGCTGAGGCAATACACAGCAATGGGATATTATCTGAGGTGCCAGTAGTTACGGCCGGTTTCGTTGTTCTTATTGCTTGTGTTAATTATCGGAATTTATCTAGGCGACGGCAATAATCTGTTCTTAATGACAAAGTCATGCAAGCTGCTGACCATCATACAGATTCTTCGCGAAGCCTCAATGGGTCTTAGTCACAGATACCTATTGCTATTGACGCATACTCACAAGAGCAGTCCAGAAAATCCAGACACAGCTACAGTTGCAATTAGGTGGCACGGAAATTATGCAGTACGGTTAACAGAAACCAACCCTCCAGTGAGTGGACACTCCCCCCCAAGAATACACTTTGGTAATATTCGAAGTTGTGTCATGAGGGGGAAGTGCCTTGTCACAAGACAGTCATTCCTGAATGCGATGCCTTGTTGTGCAGCCCACCTACCTGATGTGTCTCAAGAGAGGCATATCGGTCGTGGAGTGTCAAAGGGATTTCAGCAACCCTAGGAGTAGTATGTCATGTCGAGAGATGACTACCTGACAGGACAGATGTACGGCCGACTACTCTAGTAAGCAAAAGGCTCAATTCAAAAGAAGCTGATGGAATTGTGGTACACTCCTACTGGTCACTTTACAAATGTTTGTTTGATTAACCGCAAAGTCGTGTTAATGATGATCAGTATTTGTGTGACCTTGAGAGTGCAAAATGTTCTATTGTTACTGCTACTTGGTGGGTGCACAAAGCTGGATTTTGGTTAGCACCTTGTTCTATCCTTGACGTTCGTAAAAACACGATTACCAAGACATTATCAGATCAATCATGAATATTTGAGAAACCAGAGAGAAACCGATCTTAAGTGCTTTTTTGACCTTTGGTAGTTACTTCTGGTTATATTCGGGTCCTTCTCTACGAAGAGTGGTTCCTACTACTGGCGCTCGCCTTCTCGATTCTTATTCAATTAAGGAGGTAATACAGCAGGTGACTGAAGTGACTAGAGTAGTGAAATACACTTATTTGCATACCAATTCGGTTTTGTAGGGGGGACTAAAATGGAAACCAGTGGAATATCTCATTTATTAGGTTTCTAAGCAACTGAGAAAAACGTCATAAGAACATAATAAACGAGAGATTCAGCTGGTTTCCAGGTGAGTCTCCCTGTCAAAACGAAGCTGGTGTGTGGTTCAAGGTTGATGGAAACCCGAGGACTGTGCTTACCTGATGAGCATCAGAAGGGAAAAATCGGCTCTGTACTGTCAAACATTTTTCAGCAGTCTTATAGGTCGTACATTACATCAAGATGACTGTTGGGATTCATTCTACCAG